TTATAGTTCGATTACTAATATGCAAATGATTACATTTCAGAATAAATCATTTATCAAGACAGCATAACTACAGTGTTGCAAATGTCAGTAAAACTGATTACAGAAAAACAAGACTTCACAGACATGATAGTCTACGAGTTATAAAGTTGTTTCTGCTGCAACAATATTGTGCTTATTCTGATGTCAATCAAAAGTCATTAACAGAGTCAAATATATAAATTACAAAGTAAAATACAGAAACAAATTATTACATTTGTAAAAAATTCATTCACCAAATCACAAGATCAAGTGAAAGCAGATAAAGTTACATAAATTTTAAAATAGCTCTTCAGGCTGAATTTTGTATATTATAAATGAAACTTGTCTAAAAAATCCATAACAGTATAAAAAATAACTTGCAACTGAAACTCTCCTTCTAGATTATCCATACAAAAATTTTAATTTCTCTTACTTTTAGCAAAGGTATCTCATATATTGTCCACATATCTCATCCTTTTTTTTCCTATACTTAGTTGATTATCTAATTTATGCAAAACACAAAACATTTCTAAAACTGGAATATTGAGTCAGCATATATTACTGCAGTGCTGTGAAAGCAATTATAAAATCTATGCATGCACAATAAATATTGGAAATGTATCATTTGTAAGTTTTTAATTAAAAGTACAAAATTAAAAAGGTGTTCCATTTATCTATTCTAAATAATAACTACAGCTTGCACTTTTTGGTGATAAGGAATTCCCATTTATGTGGGTGAAAAAGTAGCAAAAAAAAAAATACCAATTATGTGGATATGTGGTGGATATCAACTTTGTATGACACTTTGGGAAACAAAGTCCATTTATAACAATTTATAATTTAATCAATGAAGATGAAAAAAAATGTGAAATAATATTTTACATTCTTTCTCAATGAATCATGAAGAAATTAATTCATTTTATTTAGCATTTCAATTTGAGAAAATATTAAGCTTTCTCTGTTTGGAAAAAGCATGTACTCGGGTTAGGAATGAAATGTTACATCATCAGTTCAGAGTAGATGAACTGATTTCTAGTTGAATGTGTGATTTAATGCTGCTGAGGTCTTCCAGATGGAACAACTAAACACACTTGTCTTTTTGGGGATCTATTATTGAAACTTAACTACTGAATTATAGATCTCAGGAACAATATATTTTTAATGCCAAGAAATGCCTCCACAGACATGGACCACATCCATTCATTACAAGATTTGAAATAATTCTCAGTTCCTTTCAATGTTTATTTCAAACCCCTAAACAACACTGATAAATAATGCAAGAAGATTTAAGAAGTACTTTCTTCTTGTCAGTAGTTTTTAGAATATTCAAATCACAATTCTCAAATGAAATGCAAAACGAAAAATGATGCAATCTGTTGTGAAGCATTTTGAGTGCTTTGAATATCTTTAATATACATGCTGTTTGGTCGGTAAGAACAAACATACATGAATACACAATCATATTTAATGATACCTGGCTGTAAAAATGTGCATCCTGGAGCAACTACATTATGGTGGTACTGGTACTCTCAGCAATACATTTCTGGTTTTATTGGATCTAGTCATGGGCCAACAAATAAATTGAATAAAGATTTTTTTTAATATAGTTTTATTAAGAATACACAGCCTTTCAAACTACGTGGGCAAAAGACCATCTTTCATCATAGACAAATGTCAGATAATTTCTCCAAACAGTACTTTTACCTGTAATGGATTTTTTAAGCATTCCAGACTGAACAAATGTGGATTTTTAATCAATAAAAAAATGAGTTTACCTTGAATGTTTGTGCATACAAAAACATTGGAATCTATGCAGAATAGCCCAAATTTTGCTAGAAACATGCTTCTAACAAAAATACTGATATGGATGATCAGTCAAGTATTACTCTTAGATGACAGCTTCTGTCTAGACACACAGCCTGTCTTCAGAATGGAAAACTGAATTCCAATATTAATTCAATTTTGAACTCAATCATATCCTATTTTTAATAGAAATTAGTTAAAGATTACAAAATTTTATTGATTGAATGCTCTTATATGAAAAAAGTGTGCCATTATTTTAAAAATGACTGTTGCATTTTGCACATTAGCATGGTGAAAAATTACTAGCCCATGAGTTCATGAATGCTCTCCATAGATGCTGATGAGTTTGCATATAAACAGAAAGTACTGAAAAAAGCATGGGATAAGAACAGTGACAGTAGATGATGCAGTATTGCAGAGATGTTTCTCTTCCAAACAGTACATAATTTATCTTACATTTCCATATATAAGCTAAGAATTTTAAGTAAATATTTTTCTATTGAAGTATGGCGGTTAACTTAGACATTCAAGCTTATTTACAAATAATTCTATCACAAGAATATTATGCACTAAATAATTCAGAATTGTATTTATTTTTTTAATGGGAATGATTTCCACAACTGAGAGCAAAAGCAAAATTCACTACACTATTGTTAAAGTGCAAAATGATGTGAATATCAAAAAGCTGAAAGATTTAAGAAATTGGTTCTAAAAATGCTATTTGATCCTATAATACTCTTACCTCTATTTTTTAATGGAAGCTAAAACGGCTCAAATCTTCAGCTCTAGCCACATTAGATGACCAATAACCCATACTTTTGATGATATATACATCACTGGATTTAAAGATCAATTTTAAGTTTGCCGAATATACAAATTTTCAGTTTTAGCAGAATTTTTTGCAAAATCTCATCTCTTGGCTTCTACATGGATTCATTTACAGAAATATAAGGTAATTTTGCATTAACTGGGATATAAGAATACTGCTAAATAATTTAATTAAAATAAATAGCTCACTCGTAAAAATAAATGAAGTGCAAAACTTAAATCTCCCGTTTCATGTTGAGTCCTATCTAAATACAAGAGTAATAAAAACATTGTTCTTTTTGTTTTGCAGTGGGTTCTTTTTGTTTTGAATACTGGTTTAATTTATATACCGAATGAACGTATACTTCCAGTCCTAATTGCTAGAAAATGCAAGTAAACTGTTAATTGCATTTTTCTGTTAACCTTCCAGCACGTGCGCTATGCACAAAATTTATGACAAATTCGGTTTTTAATGCACAATTTTTGCATATCGCAGCTGAAACGTCTAAATGTCATTTCTAATCCTCCTTTCAACCCTTCTCCACATCATGGAACGTGCCAAAAGGAAGTCATATGACTTTTTTTTCTTTTTACTGGGCTTTTGCGCTATGTGGCAGCTTCTTTGTAAAAGTTACAACTCGCTTGTTGTCGTGGGGGAAATTTCGGAAAATAATTTTTTCTCAAATATTTTGTAATTTTGTGTTATTAACTGCCGTGTATTATTTTAATTTGTATAAATTCGAGTCTATCATTTTATATCGGTTTTCACTGTAAAAAAATATGTGCAACCAGCTAATTTTGTTCGCATTCTTCAAGAATTATCTGGTGAAGAAAAAGAAGACAAGGAAACTTTTGGATGTGAGAATAATAGCACATTTACATGAGTGGAAATGATGGCCTAATTTAGATTGTTATATATGATAGGAATAAAAAAGGGGACACCATGTAAATGCAAAAGAATTGTTCTCAAGTGATGGCACTGGATTTGAAATAACAAGAGCTGTAATGATCTACAAGAGATTTTTATTTCTGACGAGTTCTCTTCGATTCGATGATAAATCAACAGGACAGGACAGATGAATATTAAAACTAGTGCTTGGATTTTAAGATATATTAAGTAATAAATTGTTTCATTTTTATAATGAAATACATCATTGCTTTTCCACCAGACTGATTTGAACGTTTAAAAAAAAAAATTACTATCGTTTAAATGTGACATCATTTGTATTTTGCAGTAATAAGGTTAATATTTTATGTTTTAACAAATTTATTATCAATATTCACTCATTTCTGTCATTTTTCATGCCAAAAACGGTAAAATAACAGATGTAAAAAATACGACGTGCGTGTGCTCATGTAGAATTCCCAAGCACGCGTGCTGAAAGGTTAAATATAATAGGGGTTACTCCCCATTTTATGCATTTTTTAAATTGCCATTGGAATAACCACAATTTGAGATTAACCGTAGACACTGTCCCAGTATTATCCCAGCTAAGCAGGAATTCACTGTATTGTGTGAAAATATTCTTACTTCTTCTTAAATCTTTTCAGCAATGTTTGCCACAAAATAACAGGTTTGCATTTTCAGCATGGCACCAATGATGAGCAAGTTTCAATATTAAAAATTGGTACTTACATACTATGACGACTACCTTGGTAACATTTGCCAATAAAAATCTTCACTGGCATTTTTTGGTTTATAAATTCTTTTAAAAATAAAAGCCCTAATTATAAAGGAAGAAAACTTAAAAACTAAAAATCCTGAATATACATACATATTATAAATAAATGTATAAATTATATACTAAATACGAATTTAAAAAATTAACTTACTTAAAACTGAAAAAGAAAGCCAAGATACGGCGTTAAAAGAAAAAACGCTATATCATGACCATTTTACAAACGCGTTCTTTGTGTAAAATTCCAGCCTCTCTGAAAAATTCTATCGCTTATTCTTCATTTGAAGGAAGTTGAAAAATGTTGATATCTGTTGGGAAAAAAATAATCAAAAAAAGTTTCACATGTTTAACCTAAACGTAATAGTCCAAGTAAATGCAGCAAAAAAAAAGGTGTGGTAATAGCAAGTGCGGGATAATACTCTTTATTTTAGCACCCTCTTTAACCTATGTTAGGGTTAACCTGTATAACCTACAAAGGTTGCTAGTTTTGACAAGATATCAAGGTAGTCGTCATAGTACACAAGTACCTAAAAGTGTATATAATATTTATACACTTAATATAGTAATATAGTATTTAGTTAATTGTAAACCAGTAAACTTGTTTTTGGTGTTACTATTTCACAACTTCTAAACTTTCTTTTTAAAATTACCATAATACTCACTAGTTTTATTTAAATGATATGACAATCAATGTTTTTTTTTTTTTTTTTTTTTGTGTGTGTGTGTGTGTGTGTGTGTGTGTGTGTGTGTGTGCGTGTGCGTGTGCATGCATGTTCACAGTTTTACACTGTTGTGTATTCTTTCCCATCAGATAAAATCTTGACGTAGAAATTTTGCAGTATACCATTTCTTATGAATTACTTATTCCAAAATATTTTAGGGAAACAACAGCTAATTATTATGATACAATAAAAATATAACGGACGTTGAAGTACTCACCCATTACTCCCTTTACATCCCCGACTACGTCTGTCATCGCTATTATTTTCTGACTCTTCAGCATCACTGCTACTATTTTCATAGGTATTGTTTGAAGATGGAAATCCAACTCTATCTTTTCGTCCAGACATTTCTTAAATCTAAAAAAAATAATAATAATTTTATTTTTAAATAGAATTTGGATAAAATTAGCATGGTACTTATGCATTATTCCACTGGTGGACATTTTATCAACGGTCACCACTTGTTACTGCGAAATTCCAAAGAAAGTGAGTCATCCATAATTGGCCCTAATCGCACTAATTTGCTGGTCGACAAAATAATACAATAGTACTGTTAATACTTTTCAATCCAATGTAACTTGTCGCTAATATTTTACATTCTAGGCATTTTATTACAAATTCAAATTAGTAACGTATTTAATGCTTCAAAATTATTTACAAGAAAATGTTCAAATTAAATATACTATTATATGGAAATATTGATTTCCATAATGTAAATATTAAAAAATTATATAAATCTTCGAAATTTGTTTGCATAAATAAAACCACCTAATCCGATTATGAAATCCTGCATATACATAAAAAATGATGAAAATATCACCAATCATTCCAGATGTTTAAACAAACAGATCATTCTGAGTTTACTTAGATAATAAAAAGATGCTAATTATGAACATAGCAAATTAAGAACTTAAATCATGTACTGTGAAAATCATAATATTTCATGGTACACTTCCATTGTTCCGAAATATTAATGACTTTTTCCAAAATGCAGAGGAAAAGTGCAGTTTATTCCCTTCTTAAAAAAAAAATTAAATCGGTTTATCGACAATTGATTAAGTTTATATTGAACCAAAATGAACTTCTCATGACTGTATTGTGGCTTATCCATTATTGCTGCTACATTACACTGTTTGACGACAATGTATATCTATAATGAGATCTCAAATCTCTCATTTACTAAGTTTTTCGGAGGAAATTTTTTTTCTAATACTCTAAAATATTCCAGTTACTTGACCTTCCTGGTTAGTTGAATGCCAGATATTCGGATTTTGGTACTATTCAGTTTTGAAGGCCATAAAAAATTGCCAAACTATTGTCGATGCCAGTGCTGCCAAAAATAATTGCAGCAAGCCTAACGCAAGAAAGGAAGTATAATAATAAATAACTATCTAAGATTTTATTGTTTTAATTTAGATGAAAGGTTAATTTCATATAATACTTTTTTATTATAATAATTTATATAAAAAAGTCTAAAAATAACTGGATGGAAGCATAAGAGTAAATAACGATTTCAGATCATTATTATAATTTATATAAAAATTGCTAAACATAACTGAATGGATGCCTGCATCGCTATTTCGCTACCTGAGTTATCGCTAAAGCATAATTTCATCTCGTTGGTTGTTCAAACATTATTTTCTGTAATGAATGATGCTTTTTCTTTGAAAAAATTCTCGGTAAAGTGCAGAATCGCCCACCTATTTGTTTGCCACTTTTTACAAGGGTAAAAACAATTGGATTTTTATCAATTTTCTTTTAATTTTTAAGTGAAAATAGGTTGATGTGTACATAGATAAAGGGTGTGCGCAATGCCATTTTTGTGCAATTCTGAGATTTTTTTTTTCTTTAAGTGAAAATAGGATCGATGTGTACACGGATACCGAAGTATGAGCAATTCTTAACAATGCGTCAAGTAGTGGGATGATTCTGCACCTTACCCAAAATTCTATTGCAGACTTTCCGTCATGGGCAATTCCCAAATTGTTGAAATCCATAGGATATCAAAAAAGAATTTAAAATCAAAAAAAGATTTAAAAATTAAACTAGTATTTCAATTGCGTCTTAAGAAATATAGAACTATATCAACTTACGCAATCTGAAATCAACGCATACGGTAGATTTGGCGCGCTGTTTAAATGGGCGCGTTTGCTAGATTTGGAACTTTTGTGCAAACATTTTCGCTGCAATTTTTTTGCGGTCCTCAAAACAGAATAGTACCCGGATTTTTACTGCATAACAGACATCAATTAGCTCAATACACATATTGTATGCAATTCAGTCACTTCTAGATGAATAGTAAAACTGCAGCCTTGGAAATGATAAAGATGTCATTCCTAAGAAATTGGCTTAGAAACGCACAAGCCTGCTCAGAAGATCTGCATTTGTAAAAAAAGGCACTCAACAACAGTCAAATTTCAAGCACACTTGTGCATCTGTTGTTTTGAGATACACCTTAATTCTTTTTAACCACAAAAAATTTTTGTTTGACAATTATTAATGAAGCAATTAATGAAAGGCTAATATGAGTTCTCTTAATTACCTTATTAAATACACTATCTCGTTAAATAAAATCTTGTTAAATGCACTATCCAATTTATTTACCTTTGTGTAACAAGTAATAAACTAAACCTTCTTAAATACCAGGGCTGTGAAGTTGGAGTCGGAATTGGAATTAGGCAGATTTTAAGGGAAAAGGAGTCGCAGTTGGAGTCGCTAAAAACACGTCAACTCCGACTCCGACTCCAGCTTATGTTGGACAGTTTGAATTTGAAATTAAATTAAGATGAACTGAAAAAAGATTTAATGAAAAATTGAGTTATTATTTTTAGTTATGGAATATATACATCAATAAATAGTTATTTTCTACAAGGTCTGGCTACTAATTTCCAAGACTGACATAACTGTAGAAGAACGAAAAGTCGGAAGATGGCCCTAATGACTGCATATTAAAGAGCGTTTTCTTGCGCATGTGCAGTGCAATCAGCGCTATTCTGAAGTAAGTGGTTCTTGTGGAAAGTGCATTAAAAATGTAGCTCTTAAATTCCTATTGTCGAAGTGAAAATGGAGCAAAGAATCAACATTAAATTCTGCTTCAAATTGGACAAGACAGCTGCGGAAACCTATGAAATGTTAAAACAAGTTTACGGTGAAGAAGCATTATCCCACTCAAGAACTTTTGAATGGTTTAAATGATTTCGGGATATGCACGAATGCGTCGAAGATGATTCGCACACAGTTCGGCCGCAGTCCGTACGCACGGCGGAAGCAATTGAAAAAGTTCACAATATGGTGAAATGTGATCGTCGATTGACTATTCGAGTACTCGCCAATGAATTCAACATAGACAAAGAGATGGTTCGGAAAATTTTGATGAAAGACCTAGGCAAAGGCAAGATTTGTTCCAGATTCGTTCCTCACCGATTTAAAGGGACAGACAAAGCGACTGAGACTGGACGCATGTGGCGAACTTATCAACAACACTGATGCTGACTCTGCCTTCCTGGATAGGACAAGTCATGGAAGATGAGTCTTGGTGTTATCAATATGACCCTGAAACCAAGCGTCAAAGCTCCGAATGGCGGTCTGCAAGTTCACCAAGGCAGAAAAATTTCGATTTGAAAAGTCCAAAATCAAGGTCATGTTAATCGCTTTCTTTGATTATGATGGACTCATTCATCATGAATTTCTTCCTCCTACCATGACTATCAATGGACAGTTCTACACAGAAGTTCTTGACCGACTTAAAAAACGAATTCGTAGAGTGAGGCCACATTTTCAACAAAATGGAAGTTGGCTGCTGCTACATGACAATGCCCGCCCACACGTTGCATTGCATGTGAGGCGATTCTTACCCCAGCATGGTGTCATTGAAATGCAGCATCCACCATACTCTCTAGACCTAGCACCCACAAACTTTTTCCTGTTTCCTAAGCTGAAAAATTCGCTGAAGGGAACAAGATTTCTGGATGTCGAAGTCATCAAGAAAACTGCAACGTCACTATTAAAGAGCATTCCAAAAGAGGACTTTAAAACTTCTTTCCAAAATTTGTACAGCCGAGCACAGACGTGCATTATGGCTGATGGAGATTACTTTGAATCATATTAAATGGCTATGTGTTTAACCTTTTTTTCTTCTGAGTTATTCCACAAGTCCTCGAAATTAATAGCCGGACCTTTATAGAAAGATTGTGGAATGATCTTGCAGAATTGGAAACTCTTCTTTCTACGCTGTATACAGCCACAAAAAAGCTACAATCTGAAGAATTAACAGGAGGCGAGAATGAAAGAATGTGATGTTTGTTCTTTCTGAAATGGAGGGTTTATTGCAGAAGGAATCATTTCTTCAATGAAGAAAAGAGAAACTACACTGGTTATCATAAATTAAGGAAAAATCACAAAAATCACGATTAATGAAAAAGTGACATGTAGAATTTTATTAAACTTACCCACAATACAACAACACATAGTAAGGTATCAAATAACATAAAAAGAAATTACCCGACAATTATGGTAGTATAGAAATTAGCACGTGTATAAAATGAACAAATCGAAGATGTCAGTTTGCTATAGTAAAAGTACCTTCAATATGGAATATAATCACCTATAGAAGCAATACAGCACATTCAGCGATTTATGATGCTTTCAATTATGTGGTGTATCAGTTCCATAGGAAGTGAGCTCCATTGCTCTTGCAAAGCAGTTGCAAGCGCGGCAAGGGTCTGAGGGGGCGGATTGAGAGCAGCAAGACGTCTGCCTAAAGCATCCCAAACGTGCTCGATAGGATTCAAGTCTGGGGATCCAGCTGGCCACTCCATGTGCATAATTGTTTCCTGTTGAAGATAATCATATACGATGCGAGCCCTGTGTGGTCTTGCATTGTCGTCCTGTAACAAGAAAGCATCACCTATTGCCCAGGCATATAGGCACACATAAGCATCAAGGATGTTAACTCTATAAACATGAGCATTCACGGTTCCCCTTGGAAAAACATGTAGGTCTGTGCGTCCACCCAAAGACATGCCACCCCAAACACAGACACTTCCTCTTCCGTATGCATCTCTTTCATGGATGTTTGACGAATGATAACGGGTTCCAGGTTCTCTCCATATCAAATAACGCCTACTATCACGTTCTCGACTAAACCTGGATTCATCCGTAAAAAGAAGAGCCCTCCATTGCTCAGGCATCCAGTGGACATGTTGTCGTGCCCACTGCAAACGGTCTCTGCTATGGCGTGACTTGAGTGGCACACAAATGGTTGTTCGCCTCGCATACAGACCACCTTCATGAAGCCTTCTACGTACAGTTGATGTTGACACCAACCTTCCGGTGGCTGCAGCAAGGGAGGATCTAAG